CTCATTTTTTTAGAATCAGCTTCTCTCCAATCATTGACCAATCGTCCATCGTTTGCATAATCAAGAATTCCACCCTCTCGAGAGCGCGAAAGTCGACGATACACATTGGATAGAAGAAAAATAGGAAAAACGATCGTGTGGCCGCTCTCGGTCTCGCCGTGTGGAATCGAGACGGAACGATCGATAGGAGCGAGAATGAGAGAGAGAGAGAGGCCGTTACACCGTCTGCTTCGTGTTTCTTCCGTCTGGCCCAGAATGCGAGTCGGGCTTTCACTGCAGTTTTCTCGTCTGGGTCGACGCTCCTTCTCCCTCGCTCCCATTACGATTCCCCTTTCTCTCTTTATCCGTCTGTCTGTCTCTCTGTCTCATTCTGTCTCGTTACCTTCTCTCCCTCGCATCGCACCTCTTTCTCTCTCTCTTTCTGTCTGTCTGTCCGTCCGTCCGTCTGTCTCTCGCCCTTTTCTGTCGGTCGATACCTTCCCGTCGCACTTTTAAATGTCATCAGCCCGATCGTGAGGTCGGCCTCGACGTCTCCTTATACAGGGTGTGCCTAAAATGCCTGACCTCGGCTCGTGTCCCATTAACCGGGAAAAAGAGGTGTCGCGTAAAAATATGTAGGTGTTATTGGGGTATATATCTCTTGAAACGAGTTTCTGTTTTGAAGTTACTCGTTTTATGGGAAAATCTTATAGATATCTTCCTCCTATTTGGAAGATCGATGCAAATTTTCTCATCGAGTATTTCTGGGATTAATATTTAATTAATATTTAATTAATCTTTTTAATATTTAATAATCATCGTCAAATTTTGATCAATCTTTTAGAAGATCGATTTGAGGATCGAGTATTTTCGGGATTAATTAATATTTTATTAGTATTTTTAAACATTTTCGAGACATTGTTTTACTTCTTTCATGGAAAAATCGATAAGATTTTGATCAATCTTCACTTGGGAAGATAAGATAAATGTTGGGATTGACTATTTTCGGGAATAGTTAGTTAGATACATTTTCAGAGATAGGAATGATTCCTTGGAGGACCATTCGTAGATCGAAGATCGGTTTTCGATGAGAACAGGTTTAAATGAGATGGTTGGACATAAAGCGTTATAGGACTGGGTCGTTTGGAGGAAATGGTTCCTCTAATTTAAAAGATTGATAATTGGCTGAGGGATGCATCGAGAATTTTTTTGTCTGATTCTTTTGTCTTCTTTGATTATTTATTTCGAATATTTTGGACCACCGTTTGTACAAGATTCACGAAATGAGAATCCATCAAAGACATTTCGTTAAAATTCGAACGTTAACCTACTTGGCCCCTTTCTGTCTTCATCGATTTTCCAGATGCCCGCGGTTATTTTTCAGTTCAATCAACCGTCGCTGTGCTGGAGCCCCTTTCTCTCGATTTTTATTTCTCTCTTCTTTTTTTCTGGATCTTTCTCCAGCATGGTTTAATGTCTCTCTCTTTTTTTTTATACTTTTTTCGCATCAGAGAGAACAGGATATTCGGATCTATTCTTCTGTCACGATTCGAACATGTCATGTTCTTCATTGCACACTAGATATAGGTATTATGTCTTCGATCTTCGATATTTTTAGATGTTTTTGTATAAATTTTCTACGAGGATTGTTTTGTGTAATATATCAATGTTCTCGAAGCGATTTTTGGATAAAAATAATCGAGACGTGTATTTTCGTGCGTACTTTAAAACTAGAATACTTTTGATTTGTAATATGTAGTTCCAATGCATATATATTGATGAATATATTTATCTCTAATTATTTTTTTTTATCAGAACATCGAATCTGTTTAATAATTAGGAAAGTAGAAGACAAATAAAAGTTTTATATTAAAATATTAGAAATTTTTTATTATTAAATGATAATTATATAGCGATTAATTAAAAAATTTTGTTTTAACTTGTTGAGTAAGAGCTTTATAAATAAAATGTTTGAATCATGTGTATACATATAAATTAAGGGTAAAATTTCTGCGTCCTTAATTAGCATTTTACGACTGTCGGCTGAACAGCTTTTTTACGATTCCGTGACAAATCGTAAACAGCAGCGAGCTTTCTCACACGCGTTCCTCGTTCTATCATGCTCTTGGGAACGCTAAAGACAAAAATGAGAACAACCGACAGCGTCATAGTTCATTTACCAAATTAATACAAGAACACGTGCCTTTCCCTCGTTAGTGGATCCATAAAACTCTCAAACTCTTTGTACGTACAATGTATACTTATACCAACTAACATTCTTCTCATTATATCCTCCTAGCGCAAAAATCATCTGCTCAAACTTTCAAATACCATCTCTTCGAACCATCTCACATGGTATTTCCCACAGTGCATCCAACCTCTTACCAAGCACACCCATAATTCATAGTTCACCTGGAAAACTTAACCACACCCTTCACCTTTCGATATTCAATCAAACCGATATTCAATTCACGTTTTCTTCTTTTTTTTTGCGTTCCAAAGAAGGAAAGATCATATTAAAAATAC